AGAGAGAGAGAGAGAGAGAGAGAGAGAGAGAGAGAGAGAGAGAGAGAGAGAGAGAGAACTGAAATAGGATTGTGTTTTCTCAGGTCCCGGCTCGATGTTAGATGTAATCAGCAACCTTAGTGGAAAGGAACCGATTACATGCGCCAAACCCAGTCATATATTAAAAAATTACATCTGGGACACGTATAACGTGAGCAATCCACGAAGATGCTTGTTCATTGGCGACACGTAAGCAATAATGAAACATTCTACTGTATATATTTTCATATATACATGCAATTCACATAGAAGTTATTCATTCATGCCTTATTCGAACATATCGCGTTGAATAATTTTGCAAAGGTTTTATTTATTTAAAAATACAATCACAGATTGCAACAGGATATGAAGTTCGGTTCTATGTGCGGATTTCTGAAACTATTTGTCGGCTCTGGATGTGATAGCTTGGAAGAGGCACTAGAAGAGGAGGATACCTACCCCGATTACTACATTCCTAGTTTAGGCCAACTATTTTCCTTTTAGGCCTATTATTTTAGGCCTATTATTTTCGGCCTATTAGTTTAGGCCTATTATTTTCGGCCTTCAAGGAAACTCAGAACCAGCAATCCGTCAATCACGAAAACCATATTCATTAACTCGTAACGGAATAAATAATTAATTTGTTACTATACATGATAGCGTAGATCATAGTTTAGACTACTAATAAGAAAAAATGACTTACTTAAAGAAAAGTATTTGTTATTACACTCACTCGCAAAAAAATCTTTAACGTCTCTTCTTACAAAGGAAATAAGCTGTATGATAGAATTATGTAATTGGAAGTATTTTAATTATCAAAATTAATATTAAATTCCGTACCGGTACAGCGACATAACTTTGAGCAGCACGAAGTTTCGGGATGTGAAATTTACAGCGGCCAATATAATTGAATCTATGCTGCCAACCGTTAACCAATTAATATATGTTGCTAGGTTTGTTAGAAAAAATCTTTTAGTAACAAAAAATTGCGACATCGAAATGCATGATACAGAATAAACAGACATAACCACTGGACGAATGCAATAAAAATGCAATAAAACGTATATTTGTCGAATAAAAAACTATTATGTGATATCTTCGAACATCTATCAACGAAATAACTCAAAATAACGACGGAATATTCCGCTTCATATACCTGATTAAGAAACAAGGTTTCAAATAAATTTCTTTTTTTTCCTCTTACAATGACTCATCTTAAGAAAATCTCTTATGCTAGATTCACACTGGACGCTATTAACGATGAGCGATGAGCGATATCCAATGAGAGTATTGTTTTAAAAAGAAATAAGAGCTCTCATTGGATATCGCTTATCTCTCGTCGCTAGTCGCGTTCAGTGTGAATCTAGCATTACAATGACTCATCTTAAGGAAACCTCCAACAATGAAAATTTTGACTACCTGACTGTTACCACTTCTCCTTGGAACCTTTTCTTTTAAGAAAAAACCACATGGGGCGCTTGAATGCATTCCATGTCTAGTTTTCCGTTAGTAAGCGAGAGCTTACTATTGTAGTCGAGTTCCTTGCGTCGAGCAGTACGGAACAGTTTTCTATTTGTGAAATTTCAGTTGAAATTTGTCAAGTATTGCATATACAAAAATAACTACCTCACGAATAGCATTATCTAGGCTCATTAGAATTTTTCATCAAAAAAAGGTAAGTTTTTCTTTTATTTATTCCTATTTTTTCCCTTTTTAATTACAACAGAAACGATAAACCAATCAAGCACCAACATAGGAATAAATTCATATTTATTCGCATAACACATTGCACTACTTTTACAACAGATTGATAATTGCGTAAATTGTTATTTTGTGTGTGCGTGTGCGTGCGTGCGTGCGTGCGTGCGTGCGTGTGTGTGTGTGTGTGTGTGTGAGAGAGAGAGAGAGAGAGAGAGAAAGAGAGAACTATTATAATAATCTCCGGAAAAATATTTGTATGTTTGAATATCGAAATCGAGAAATATGAGAGTACGAGAAATCGTACTCTCATAAGCGAGGCGATTATTTCTTCCTATGATATTGTATGTTCTTCTAATATGTCTATTTATGTTTGAGTTACAGAGATAATTATATACACACAACTCTAACCGACGGAAACTAACCTTAGAACTAGATTATAAATACATTCTCACACAAACCGCGTACCAATACCAATAATAAGAAACAGTGAGACGAGCGAGCGGCTGACACGTATCATCGGCTTTAGTATACATAGAATATTCAACGTCTCAACTACGATTAAAGAAAGACTTTGCACTATAAATTTCGCCAAAGAGAAAGGAACTGTTGCTTTGTACAATATCATTGGCACATATCCGAGTGTGGAAGAATTAGAATAGAAATAATATCAGAATAGACATTGCGATATTAAGATGACTTCCACGGTAAGTTACGTTTTTCATCTGTTGTCCCCTCAGATTGTGTGTATATCTCCGAAACGCGAACCAGTGTTTGTTCAAAC